GACTCTATCGTTACTTCATCAATATCAACGGCAGCTTCCGTCACGCCTGTGCTCGGCATATCTGACAGCCGAGAACTGACCTGACGCTTGTCTTCTCGAGATGGTTCAAGTAGGTAAGCTTGTATTCTCTCGAAATTGGCCGAAGTTGCAAACGCTTTAGGCACAATCGTCATAATCATGTTTGCTGGCTCTGTTACGAGTGCTAAAATAGCAACAGTCGTGAAAGCGGTGCTAACATCCATCTGGGAACCTTGTAAGCGAGCCACGAGAGCAAATACCACTAGAGTAAGTGCAGGTGCAAAGATCCCAAGCGCATTTGCTATCTCAGAATCAGTATGCTACCAGAATGAAAGAACTTTGCCGAATCTTACCGCTTGCATTATACACAGCATTCATATAACGGACGCTGTTGGCGCTTTTAATTTCATCTTGCCTGAGATTGTCGACATATTTCGTCATGGCGTCTGATACCCCCAGTGCTTTGACGCTTTTCATAGACATGAGAATTGAACTCAAGGCTGATATCCGCCGCTGGGTAGCCATACTCCAACCCTTTTGTCTGGATCGAATATTCTGCGCCACATAACGGCTGATCTGAGAACAGACTATAGTTATAGCTATTAGAATACCATAGCAGCAAATATATGGTCAAAGTCGGGCCAGCTTACAAATAATTATGACAAAGGGAAGCGGAGCAAGCCATTTGATTTCTCGGACCAAAAGTATTACACCGATTACAAGCTCAAAGAACTTTGCCCAGGCCTCATGCAGCATTTTTCCTGCTTCTGCCGCACCATCAATATCTGTACTCATAATCGTTATTACTTTGCCCGTATCGGAGACGTTTGATTCAATGGTCAGGGCTTTGTTGTAGATTAAGGTCGTAAGGGATCCACGTATCATAAGCTCAAGCTTATTGAGACGATGATAGTATATTGAGGCTGAAAACTAGACAAGAGGAATTAATTCATGAATTTCACTTTCAACACCAGTGTGTACTCACAGTTTGGCCCAAGTAGACGGCGGCGGCAGCTACAATTAGCCAATATCCTCCATGGTCGCTATCTCCAATTGTATATCCCTGGACAAAGCGAACGGCCTGTTCGATTAAAATCGGCTGGCTGGATGTTAAAATCAGAAGACTTAAACGCGGAAATATCGCTACTACAAATGGTCCTGCGAGACACTGCAACAAGACTTTTGGCAGCGTCAAGACTGTCTCTGGTTTTGCTGTTGTGCCACGTCAGAACTGAAGCAAGGGCCTGGATATTCAGGCTCTACGAGCCTCCACTGATAAAGTTGAACATACCTCTGCGATCCCAACATAAGAGAATACCGCGATGCAGATTCTCAGCTTCCATCTTCTTCCCCAGGCCAGGAAGATGGCTGCCGCGCAGTATGCTCCTATTGCCACGACTCAAGAGCCCATTCAGCCACCAAAACAAAAGAGAGCTTAACAATCCGGCCGTTTCTTCGGGAGAATTTTGACGATATTTCGGTTTCAAGATGGATGTCTTTTCTTGGCACTCAAAGGCCAGTATCGCGAGCCGAGTCGCGAGCTTGAGCGCTATGCTGCCTTTAAAGCCATTTTGATCATCAAAGAGGCCATCGTACGTCAACGCGAAAACATCCCAAGTACACATCAGCAGCAAGTAGAGCTCATTTAAGCTTGAAGGGCGGATGGACCGCTTATGCTCAGTAATCGTCAACCAGACCAAGCCGACTGATGCAGTCAAAGATGCACTGCATGACGCGATTCTCAGCCATTCTGTATTTCCATCTATCAAATCGTACACCAAATCGTTGAGCAGCAACAATGGAAGCGCCGAAGCTACAAACTATCAACATAACGATAGAGTCAGCGGCGATTTATCACTTAGAAACGCGTCGCGTGGAGAGGATGCGTACGGGTTTAATAACACAGAGCCAATTCGGCTCTACCTTCACCGACTCATACCGCAGAGCCCATAATCGATGGAAGGCAAAAACAATGAACGCAAGCGAAGTTACCAAAGTAAGCGAGTAAAGAGAGTGAATGCTAATATTTAGGTCCATTCTTTAAATTCCGTCCATCAGCACGCGCTCTCTAACTGAGCATCGCACTGACTGTCTTGTTGAAGGTCGCGAGGATAAGCCGTTCAAGGGAGATGTTTTAGGCGCTCTTTCTTATTGGATCCGCTTATGTACGGTATATGATAATTCACTTTAAACATAAACAGAGTGAAGGCGCACGTCATTTTCGGCATTACGTGCTACTGTAGGTGAGCCAAAGGATCAAGTCCCTGTCAATACGAGCCAGCGTTATCTGTTAGATGCTCCTTTATGCACAGTCTAAACCCAGTTGATGCTATCGTTCTTTACTGCTGGTCCGTAGCATTCCGGGATCAACCACATTCATTGGCTTCGTATATCTATGAATAGAAGCAGATTTAAACAGGGAAAGAAAAAATGGAAAAGGACAAACTTTTCTTTTATTGACAAGGTCTATGCTCTATATATATGAAAACTTAATACTAATACAAGCTCCAACAAAATAAAACGCTAACGGTCCGGCGCTAACAATAGCAGCCTTCTTGCATGTTGCATTTAATTCAGTCCAAAGGCCTTCTTTGCCCTTGTAAAGTATGCCAACCGCTCATCTGTGACCGACGTGCCGACACAGGTTGTAATATACTTCTTGAATCCGTCATCTGGGTTCGCCTGTAAGGCGGCCTTAACTGAGGCATCGCAGTGCGTAGAGTAAAACCAGGCGCCACTGGCAAAGTTGAACTCGTCGGGCTGAACCAAGGACAGGATGTGATTCAGATCATCGGGGCTCAGCCCATCGGTGGTGGTAAATTTAGAAACTTTGCTTTTGACGCTGTCGATACTCTGGGCGTAGAGCAGGTTGAAGTTGGCCATCTGCATGTTGGCAGTGCCTTGGCCAGGGCGGCCAGGAGAGACGTTGTGCTTGAATTTGAAGTCGACGGACTCAAAGGCCATGAGGGAGATGATGGCAGCCATCTCGGCCACGTTGTAGATCTTGTAGTCGGACATGCTCTTGGCAATGAAGGGGGCCGCCTGCTCAGCAGTGCGGCATTCGGTAGTGTCGGCGCAGTTTTCGGCTCCGGGAGCGATTTGCTTGATGATGGGGACAGCGGAAAGCTGGGCCGCTGCGATGGCGGCGAGGCTCAGGACGAGCGAGGCGGCAGTTGAGAAGTGCATCATGAATGGGTATAGATAATGTCGACGCGAAGAAGTTTATGATGTAGTTTGCGAATATTCCGTTTGTAGGGATATAGTTATATAGAAAGATGAGAGAGATTGCAACAAAGAACACCAGGTCCTTGATACAGAAGAGCTGTTCAACTTAGAAAATAAAACAACCACGTTGAGCAAGAACAAATTGAACAGTAAATGAAGTGAATAGCGTGCGCAAACAATAGAGAGCGCGATCCAGCGCAAGAAAGAAATGGCTGTGTAGTTGAACGTGGTAATGAACAATGCCCTGCATTCACACTCGCCACCAGGGACAGATCAAGTCCCTTTTGTACAGCTCCCTCAATATCCTACCATGCATAGAGTGAATCATGACATGCTCTCCAAGGGGTCCCACGAGCTAGAATCCCGCCTTCAGAATTCCCAGACTTGATTGGGCGACGCTATACCAAGTGGTGTACCCAAGCTTCGGTTGCCCCCTGGCGAACCAACGCCTCTATCCACGATCAGCGCCCAAATAACTTAAAAATCGCGGCTAAAGATTGGCTCCCTTTCGCTCGCGCAGGGCACCAACAAGGAGAGCAGGGATACGACACCGGCCGCCCAATCACTACGCTTCAAGAGCCAAGCACTAGAAGGAGAGGACGTTTCATGAAACAGAAAGAGCTGAGCTGTGAAACCACCAGGAGACGCCGCCAAGAGAGAGAAAAGCGTGCAAAGCATTGCCTGGAACACGTTTGTTCGGATGATGCCCAGCATCCGACCCTGAGGCATGTTCATCAAGCGTTGGACCAGGCTCAAGCGTGGAATGGATATCTACTATGGGCAGTCTTGGCAGTCGTCCTCAGGTAAGATTTGCTTAATGCGGGCTCATTCACATGAAAGACGCGGTATTGCGTGGGTGTTGGACCTACGCGAGAGTGGGCATGTTGGCCTCCTTGTGCTGCACCGCTCCGCCACCCAGCACTGTATTGCTTAAAACAGCATTCCGCCATAGTGTGCATCGTGCAATCTGTGCGCGCTGCTGGGAAAACCAACTGCTGCTGCTGAGTTAAAAATAAATTGATTGAGCACGGCTTACTACTCTTCCGCCCATGCTATGAAGAACTCGTCTCACTGAGGAGCCGTGCTAATAGAGCATGGCGCTGCGTATTTGACTTGTAGTTTTACGCAGTTGAAGGGCTAAGAAGCGGTTGATTTTCGACAAAGCCCTAATTCTTTGCTATTTTAATGACGATCGGCGCGGTTTGAGCGCGTCTTTTCTCGATACGATATTCAACCCACCTTGCTTAAGGGGGGTAGTAAATGATAAACCGGTACAACTCAAATCTACACATGGATGGCCATCTTTGCCGTGAGCACGTACACTTAGCATGTAGCATCAGTATTTGAACACATCCTCATGGGAATACGTAATTTTACACCGGCCGTGACCGGGTTATGCATAACAGCGAACACAAGGAGAGTCCTTTGTCGCATCTAGGGTAGCCTGCCAGGTCAAGAACGGGCGACATCACATGCGCCAAAAGACAAGGGCATACGCCCAACTTTCAGTTACATAGACGAGACAGTTTTGATACGTCATACGGATATGCTCTCACTAATCATAGTCCTTTATTTAAGTTGGCATCTACTTGTAGGGAGCTCATACGTGTGTCGCGTAAAGCCCGGCCAGCCCTTTAAATCCTCTGCAAGGCGAGTAGAAGAGATCATTTTCAGCGCCATCCAGACAATCTATCCGCGGTGCGATCCCTACCGTTTTAGGTAATTCCAGGGTCCAAATCCGGCATCACCAGTCAAATGGGCGGATGGTTTAGTGGTATAATTTTCCCTTAGCATAGCGCAACTTCCGAGTTGCCGCACCCGCCTGGGAAAGGTCCGGGGTTCGATTCCCCGTTCGTCCATTGCAATGCGAGCCAAAGGCGCGCAACTACTTTTTGGTATTCTCTCATCTTTTTTTTGATACCTTGAATTCGGTCTTGTCTACTAGGTATTGTTGTGTATTGAAGAATCATGCATAGTGTCACCCTTTTTTGGTCCCTTTTAAGCTTGTATGAAAAATACTGCCGCTGGGACCAACTAAGCTGCCAGCCGCCAAGTTTCTGAGCTGAATTCGTCAAATCTATTCAAAACTTTCGAAAGAGAAGGGTGAGTCCGTTTTTGAGCCCTACCAAATCCCCAATACCCATCCATCATAATATACAAATACTGTTTGTTGTTGTACACAGTCATCCGCCTTTTATAATACATACATCATCATTCCATTTCATTCCATTCTTGTGAACCTTAACCGTCACAAGAGTCCAAAACCTCAGCCGCAGCAAGTCATGCATGCATGCCCCCATTTACCTCCCTCTTTTCTGATCCAGCATATCCTGGATATCGCCCTTTCCCTTGCCACCCTTTGCTCCAGCACCCCCTTCCGGCGCAAAGCTTGAAGAAACCTCCATCTCGACAGCGCCCTGCTTGCGCAGCTCTTCCAGCCTCCTCTTCTTCTGCAGATCAGCGACCCGCCACTGCTTGAAGTACTTGACCCAGGCGGCGGAGCAGTCGCGCTCAAACTCAGCAGTCTGCTTGGGGCACGCCTTGGCAGCCGCGGAGGCGTCCTTGTTCGCATCGAGGATGTTGTTCGCGTCTAGGCACAGAAAATAGGCATCCCGAGCGGCCCAGCAAAGGGCGCGCTCCTCACGGTTCGGGATGGCGGTGCCGGTGCGGATGGCATCCTGGCGGGTATCTGCGGAAAACGGCCACCAACCCATTTTTGTATATATGTAGTTGTAGATTGTGTGTGTAGTTGTGTAATTGGTTGATTTTCCTGGCCAAAGAAGCCTCCAGCGAAGATTTGATATTGAGACAATTGCTTTCTCTGGCACGTTTTCTTGCTTTGTAATGAGGGGTAGTTATGCCGTTAAGACTTGTCGATAGGACCAAGACTGATACCTCAATAAGCCAATTGAGTCATGAAAAGATTGGTGATTTGCCAGCTGTGTGGAATTGAGATTATCTCAAGCCCGTTGACGTAGAGTAGTGACTGCAGACTAAAGACCGTCCCAAGCTGCTATGAGCTACCAAAGCCGCAACTAGTGAGCCGCCAGCCGGTAATGACGATGAGAAGACTCGGCAGAATCCTGCGGGCGGTCAGCCGCAGCAGCACCCCATCCAGCCTAGCGCCAAGTTCAACACCCGAGTCCCCTTTGGCTGTGGTCACCTGGCTGGCGTATCATGTATGTGTTCATCCCCAAGCCATTTCTCGTGCCGTCACCAGCGTCTTGCACCAGCACCCTCTTTTTTTTTTGCGCCAGGCAGCGCTACTTGCCGAGCATTCGCCTTCGCCGGTTTCCGAACTCGGCATCTCTTTCGACTCGTTAACACGAATCCTCTCAGCATGGATTAGGAGCGCGAGACTCGAAACCAAATGCACAGCAGTACTCCGTCGCCTCATCCATCCTCCAGCATCTCCAAATAGCTACGCAACGACCCGTCGCCCATTCAAGACAACACAGTTCTCTCCTTCCTATTTCAAGCAAACACAGAATAAAAGAATAAAACAAACAAAAAGTTAAAACACCATGGCCCGCCGACGCAGGCCCCCTCGCGCCGGCGCTCTCACAGAGCTCCAACCTCTCAAAATCGCCGCCCAGATAGCAAGCCTCCAGGCCCTCTATTACTTTGCCGCCCTCGTCCTCATGCTCTTCACTGCCCTCGTTGCCGGAATATCATTCAACTTCAACCTAATACTCGGGTGGGATCGCGTTCGTGGCGATACAACGCAAGGGTGGCTCCTGGCCTTTGTATGGATTCTCAACGGAGGCTTTTGCATGTGAGTTCACACCCTTCACAACGTCATTTTCGCGCTCCTTTTTCTTTCTTTCTTTTTTTTTTTTTGCCAAGTCATGAAGAAAATAAAGAAGCTAACATCCTTGTTCCATCAACAGGTCTCTCGCCATGGTCATCCTCATCGCGCGCAGTAAACTCGTTCCCGACTTCGCCCTCACAATCCACTTCCTCCACCTCCTCTTCACATGCCTCTACACGCGCTCCCTTCCTCGCCACTCCATGTGGTGGTTCACCATGGTCGCCTCCTCCGCCACTGCCGTCGGCCTGGGCATGTGGGGATGCCGTTACCGCGAGCTGCAACCCGTCTTCTTCCTCGGCGGTAGGATCCTCGGATCCGGCACGGCCGGCCCTACGACGAATAGGAGCACGGGAGCCATGGGCGATGCGCTGCCTCCCGACGTGGAAGACGGGATGGGCGAATCGAGTATGGCGGGAGAATACGAAATGGGCCAGATAAAGCCTTCGACATAGAGCAAAATTATCGCCGGGAAACAATAATAGACGGAATATTATGAGCCAAAGATGGGCATTAAACTTGGCATGTATACTACTAATCTATAAAAAAGCGTGCATTATTCGGCGTTTATTTTTGGGATATAATCAGGGGAGTGCTACATAGACAGTCGCCGTTCTCTGGAAAAGGGACAAATGGCACCGCGTTAACCTTCAAATAGAAAAAGAGAGAGAATATGGAAATCAAATATCAATAATGTATCTATATCCCACATCATACGGGCAAACCAGATTTCTAGCAGAGATTTCATGCTACATCCAACTACAAAGCGCATTGCGTCGCTACTATACTGTAACTCGGACGGACTACAATAACAACAGCCTCCTTGTACAAAACAAAGGCTAAGAAAGAAAGAAGTTTTGCGTCGCGATATATCCAAGCTCATGTAAAATATAAGAAATAAAAATAAGAGAAACGCCTCCCATATATACTATACAGCGGACTCCATTTCTTTTCCCCCCGTCTCATATTCCTCTAATATAGTCATATCCTTCCTTCTGGTATCATCTTTGGCTAAACTCCCTCTGCCCACCCTTCAAGTTCATTACTGCGTATATATTCGCTAATGAAGCAATCGTATATATCCGCATCAATTTATCTTCCCTCTCAAAGCATCCACCTCTCTTTGTAGCGATTCAAGATCAGCGAGTATGTCCACGCTTTGGCCTAGGTATTGCTCATTCAGGTCGCTGAAATCATCTGCAGATGTTCTTGGTTTTCTGGCCGAATCTAGGCTTGTTCGTCCAGACCGCCCACCTGTGCTGCTTTGACTCCTTGAAGGGGGCGGTGGAGGGGCCACGGTATCTCGTGGTTTGATTTCGGTCATGGCTCTTCGTTGAGAGGACTCTAGGCCGTATAAACTCTGAGGGCGGCGCGTAGATGGATTGCGCGTGGGTGGCGGAGGGGGCGCCATGGGCCTTGCTGAGTCGAGGGAGGTTCTTGGTGGATCAAATTCGGGGGGATGGATGTGTGTAGAAGATTGCGGTGTGCCTGCATAGCTTGGAGGCCTCGAGCTCGAAGTTGTTCTCCGGGGTGGCGGAGGCGCTGGCGCATTGGTGCTCTGGCGGACACTACCGGACCTGGATAGAACCGAGTCCATCGATGTGCGTGGAGGCGGTTCACTCTCTTGAGAATCCAAGGCGTTTGTTTTCACCTCGATCCGAGGCTGTCGTCTGGGTGGAGGGGCCGGTACAGCCTTTTTGGCATTGTTTGGAGGGGTTGTAGAAGCATCCATTTGATCAGGGCTGGATGTAAACTCGGCAGGGTGACTATCAAACTTCACAGGTAGATCATCCATCGAAGAGTTGCTGCTTGCCGAGCTCTCTCGAGACAGCACAGGCCGAGACGGCTCTTTGTGTTGCGCAACCGGCTCAGCCAGCTTTTCTACGGGGCTGCTGATAATACTCTCAGAGCTGGTGACATTCTGCTCGGACTTGATCACCTTTCCGTGTCTGGAGCTTGGAGGCGGTGGAGGAGCCTTCTTCTCCTTGTTGGTTCGTGCTGCAGCTGGAGCATCCTGTGCAGGCTTTGGACGATCGATCTGATCGTGGTCGGATGGAGAGTCCGTTGGAGATGTGGAGTTGAGCGGGCTCGCATCGCCCGTCATGAGCAATCGCTTGAATGAATCGACGTTCAAGGACCGCCTTGCAGACTGGGCCGCCTTCAGCGCCTCGCCCTCCTCCCGCAGATCTTCCTTCAGGTCCTTGGAATTGCCGGCGTCTTGCGTCTTCTTCTTGCTGAAGGGATTGACCACGGTCTGCACCGGCCTCTGCGTCTGCGTCTCCATCAGCGGCTGCCGTGCCTGCGGAAGAGCCGGCTGAGGGGGTGGGGTAGCGGATGTATCCTCCCAGCTGTTCTCGTCGACCACGGCGTTACTGAAGGGATCTTGATCTTGTGCATATGATTGTGCTTGTGCGGCAGGGTTGAAGTAGCTGGCCGTCAACTCTGGCGAGTCGGGCGACCGCGGAGGCGGTGACAGCACGCGGACCTTTTTCACCACCTTGGCTTTCTGGGAGGGTGGTTGCGCGGCCGCAGGAGGCACATTTTCGTCGCGGAAGCTCGTCTTGGGAGGCGGAAACAGCTGGACGGAGCTTATAGAATCGATTGCCGGATAGCGACTCTCTGCATGCTGCGTCGCAGGCTTGCGGAAGGGATTCGATGACGACGCCATCGTGACGGGTGGCTAGTTAGTGGATATGTCCGAGCTATTATACAGCGCTGTATTGCTTAAGTAGGTTCCTCTATTTCCCATGGGTCATGACAGAAAGAGACAGCAGTCGTCCGCCATCTTCCAGCGTCAAATGATAGAATGGAGAAAAAACCAGTGATGGCCCTCTGTTCCGTTGTCGACGGGATATATGAAACCTTGTCTAGCTTAACAATCGGGAGTGTGGCCAGGGAACGAGATGCAAGTGAGTCCGTCCGGAAGAATCGGTTCCTCCAGAAGGGGGAGAGCTACAGGAAGGTACGTAAACGGTCGTGCGTCAGTGACATGTGTCTGGCTGAGGGGAGCGCCCACTCCGAGTTAAGCATATACCTGGCCGCGCTACTGGC